GGCAATTCTCATAAGCCCAAAAGAGTTTGCATTTGTCTTAGGAACTGATTCTATTTCCATTTTCTTCCTAGTATTTTATGTCAGCCAGAAATGATTTTATAGGGTATTTATTTCAGACCAAAGATTTTCAGTTCTTCCTCGTGCTGAATGCACAGTGTGGTTTTGGTCTGATCTTTTCAGACACATGAATAACTATCCCATTTCATGCTGTCATTGCAATTATTTATCTGGACTGGGGCTTTCCAAATAAAAGGCTCATTATTTCTTTTGTCAAAGATGCACTGAAAAACAACTGTTCACATGTGGCATGGGGGAAACGCAGTCTTCCGACCTCTCCATTACTTAATGGCAGAATACACATTTTGAAACATTAAAATAAACCACAGACAGAGACAATGCAATGCTTTGCTGCTTCATAATACAGAAACTGAGGCACGCTGTCCCGTGCAGTCAGGTATTACTGACACACATAAAATTGTTAGCGGATGTTTTTGACCGGACTTTTAGTTCAGCATCTCAGTTGTATGTCATTCTACTCTTCTCAGCAATAGCATCACCAGCCCACTTACGAAACTGAAATGAAAAACAACAACAAAAATAACCCCAAGAGCCTTCACATCCTTCCATACAATAACCTTCAACTCTTATCTGTGTTTCTGCCTCCAAATCCACCAGCTCAGCTGTTTTTTTAAAAGTGTACTGATGGCACGTACTACTAAACACCAAATTAATGCTACGTCTGGATCCACGCCATCTGCAGAGGCAAGAGCTGTAACTGTGAAGTAAAATGGATCAAAAGCCTTGAATTAAGTCCTTGTTTAATGCAGAGGTAATCTCTGCTGTTAAGCCCAACCAAAAGAGTCCTTAGCCAGAAGACACAGGGGGTGTCTACACTGTGTGTTTAATTACCCTGACACAATTAACGTCCTCAACTTTGGTGTCCAGACTCTTTGGGTCAGACAAAGGCCAAGACAGTCACGTACACTGGTCATTACGCAGGACTGCAAGAGGAAGTGCCACCAGCGGCCACCTCCTAATCATGTAAGGACTTTACTGTGACAGTGGTTTAAACCAACCTCCTTGACTTTACTTTGGGGTAGGCTGGAGGAGAGGTGTTCACACATCTGGGGCTGTTTTTTGGGGGACAGAGAAGCCTACTGCCTGAGAATAAAGCAGAGTCTACTACCCCCCAGCCAAAGTCTTTGAGTCATCTTGTGGCCTGGCACAGACCTTGGCACCTACAGCATGACAACAACTTATACGCCAAAGTCCAGGGTTCAGGCTGTGTTTGCAGCATAATCCTGGGACCTTGAACAAAATGGCACTAAAGAAGCTTTTCTTACCATGTGTTCTTCCTTTAAGAGTGGCCATTGCTGTCCCCAAACAGTGGGACGGGAAAGGGATGATAGTTTGATTATGCAGTTCCTTAAACTTTTCTGCTAGTACACAAAACAGAGCAAAGAGCTTTAGGAAGAAAAAGCCTCCACCCCAGGATATGTAACATGTAGGTCTGATGTCCAACACGTATCTGAGAGCAGAGCAGTGAGAGTAATGGAACCTGCAGAGGGTACAGCAGCAGTTGGTGGCTCAGGGCATGGGCCTCACTGCCCCAGGAGCTCAACATCTCAGGCTGTCCTCTGTTCCTTCGATGGCAGCCCACAGAGCCTTGCTGGAGGTTCGCAGAGAGCTGGTTCCTAACAGGGTCTTTTTGAACTGCTACTTCCATTAAAAGAAGCAATTTCAGTTGCTTTTCCCTTTGTCCTCAACTACTCTTGTTCCCCGAGGAGGTTTGCAGAATCAGCAATGGGTTGGGCCACGGGCTGCATGAAAAGGGTTATGTATGGGGGGAAGAAAAAGCAAAAATAGAACCCTGCTACCAACAACCCCCTCCAGCCCTTCCTAACCTCTGTTGTTGCACAAGGCAGGATATCCACCACAGGCAAATGTCTTCCAAACTGGTACAAAAGACCTTCTTGGTCTCAGAGCCACATGAATTAGCACACACTGACACTGCTCTGTAATTTAATGCCCTGGAGGGAAGCAATATGTACCACATGCCGAAGGTGCTTTTAATAAGAATGATTATTAAAGAAAGCGAAGGACACCAATGTTTGCCACTCAGAATGGAACCGAAATAGATGGTGCAGAAAGTAGAACAGTGCAAGCTCTGACGGAGGGGTTTGGTGACACTTTGCACGCTGAGGTTTTCAATTCCAGCTCCTGCTCTCACCTTCAACCACCAAATTATGCTCAGCTTCTACCAGAGGCAGCTGCAGTACTTTGTGGCTTTCAGGGCAGTGTTTTTCACAAAACAGGAATTCAAAACAAGGAAGGAAGTTTATTCTGATGCCGTTTTTTTTTAATCTGTTAATCACATTTTCTGAAGCGGTTTGCGTTGATAGTAGCTCTTCTCCCCTCCGGCAAAATGTAGAGGAGATGGGGTGTGGACCAGGAGGAAAGAGATGTAGCAATAGGAAGGAATAATATTTAGCAGCTCTTCCCATCCCTTCCTACTCTTTTTTACTGACTTTGTCAGCAGAAGTATTCCAACCAGCTCTACTTCATAGTAACATTTGGCACCTTTCTTCCAGATGGGAAGGAAAGCTCTAACTTCACTGCTGGCACGAACCTTGTTTTCTGACTACGTCTAGTGGTCCATGCAAAGGGTTGCTGCACAGATGGAGGCACCGAAACTCGCATCTCTCGCTTCCCCAGCTGCTGCACCGTAATTCGGGGGTGGAGGAAGATCCTTTCTAGCACTTAGCCAAGAGCCCGGTACCTGACTTTGCCTAGTTCTTCAAGCCTCCAACAACTGTGCTCCAGAGGTAGGTTTGAGGACAACCCCTTGCCCCTGTCTGCCAAGGAGCAGCCCATACCAGGTGCATGCGAAGGAAGGGGGAAAGAAGGAAGAGGGAAAGGGAGCAATGGAGCAGCTATAAGGGATTTAGCTCCACATTAAAGGCTAACAATAGGCCACAGTCTACCCCACAGATGCCCTTTATTTAACCCTTCCCTTACTCTGCTTATGCCTAAAATATGCAACACTTCCTTTTTGCTGTAAAAATGCTTCAGTATTGGGGCCAGCCCAGCACTTTGCTGGTATAAAACCGGGTTTCTTTAAACTCTGTCTGTTTTAATACCCTGTTTATAAATAAGGGTTTGGCACACGCAAATGATGGCAAGAAAACAAAACTGGCCTTATTCTAAAGTGCAGTATGTGCCTCCATTAGTTGTTATACGCATCCTACCCAGCCCAACCGGTGACTGCGCTCTGCCGAAGCCCTTCTGCCTGCTTAGCCACACATAAAAGTATTCCCTTTGCTACAGAAGGGAAGATAGGAACTGTTCTTGAGAGGATGCTGCTCCCGACAAAACATTAAAAATCAGTTCCAACAAAATAAGAGATGGACTCCTTAAAAAGAAGGAAAGAAAATAAATGGGGAAGGTTCCTCAGCAAGCCTCAGATGTCTGGAGATGCTGGAGACACTCAGTTATCTTGGGCGCAAGAGGAGACTGAGAACATGGCACTCAGATACTGAGGCTGTTGACCTCCCAAGAAAACTACTAACCCTTCAGATAACGTTGGCGTGAACTGCAGAAGTGCTGAGCCCTGGCTTTCCCCGTATGCCAGGGGATTACTTTTTTTCTTATGTTTTCATTAAGAAG